TCCATGATGGTACCTACTGCCATTTGCCATTTAATCCACCCATCATGCCACTAAAAAACTAAAGCTGAATGTCAATGAAGTGCCTTACTGGACATAGCTTATGTGCTCATAATGCAGTTCTCAGGAAAATATTACTATTATTCAGTTTAACTGCTTCATATCAAGTTGAACACAAAAAGTGGCAAATTAAAAAAAGTAAGATGAATGATGTTCAGAAAACACAAAATATGTTAAACTTTCAAGTAATTTGTATTATATTAGAAGACAAATAAGTTAGGGGTTTGTAGGAGGAGAAACATATCTAACAGGAAAGAAACAGACTAATGTTAGTAAGCCTAACATCTTGCCTGCCACATAATTGTCACTGTCTGCAATAATCCCACTCTGATGAAATTTTTCAAAAGTTTCCTAAATATGTTAGTCCTTTTCTGATATGATGGAAAGCAACAAGCTTCTGACCGTTGCTCTTTTCATAAAGACAGGATGAAACAGATCACTCAAATTGTCCTGGAATGATAACGAATCTTAAAGGTATTCAATTATCAAATCTGGAGGAAAACAAAGAGGGCAATGCAAATATTGGAAAGTTACCATTTCTAATTTCAAGAGTTCCAAAAAACATGTTTGGATAATGCTTTCACTGTCATTGCCAATGGTGAAAAGCAAAGCTTTAAGTTCTTTTAAACTGACTCTCAAGACAGATGTCAAGGAGGAGGAGGAGGAGGAAGAAGAGAAGGAACAAGGAAGTTAGCTTTATCTTGAAGGAACAGAGTGACTGAAATGAAATGTTTTATTTGGTACTGACAAGCCTAACAGACAATACATAAAACAAGCTGTAGCTCTGAATTATATGCAATCACAGGCAGACTTCATTCTCCTTAATATGCAGCCAGGTAAAAAGCTCTGAAAAACTTACTGTACATTTGTTTCCTATCTTATGACATTTTGGTTGGCCTTAAAGAATTTGTTGTGTATTATGAAGTGTTTCTTATAGACCATTACGTCTGTCTTTACATTCTTATTTCAGTCATCAGAAATATCATACATTTACTCAATAATTAATCTTTACAAGCAGACATTAACCCTGGCAGGTTCTATGTTCATCTTAGAAGGAACTTTATCACCATCACAGAACAACTGCTATTCATCCTTATCAGAAGCACCAAAACGCTTTCATGGTGAAAGGATCAACTAGTAACATCACAGTGGACTGGGGGACACCCAATTAGGGGTGCCTTTTCTGTCCCCATTAAGTTGCCCACCAAAATTGTACCCATTTATCTACTCACAGTTGCTCTCTTGTGAACTGCTAGGTTGGCAGGAGCTGGAGCAAGTGACAAGAGCTCACTCCACCACACAGCAGCAACTGGGTCTTGAACACGAATCTGCCAATCATCAGCCCAGCATCCTAACTATGTCCTAACCAGATGCTAAACCACAATAGTTTCATAAACTTCCAGCACTGCTGGCATCACACTTCAGAGGCAGTAGCATGACCTGTGTGGCATTGTAAAGGATACTGCAATACAATTATTTAAATTTTCACAGCAATATTCCCATAAATAGAAAAAATTATTGAATCAGACAAGTTTGTCTCTTGGTGCATTTATGAACAGTTTGTGTAATTTTCTTGGCACCAACATGGAAGCGATTGGCTTTGATTTCTTCCAGGATGTTTTGATGACTTTCCATCTAATGTCTACTCCTACTATTTCCAGTCTCCCATGCAATCATTAAAAAAAACAACTCAGCTCAGCTTTCAAGATTAGCCAAAATTAGTTAATGCTGCTATCTTGATGGGCTGAAATGTAACGCACAAGAAATAGTGCAGGGGTTAGACTATCAGATCTAGGCTGCAGAAACTGGAAAGCTATTAACTGGCAGGAAGTAATGTTAACTCCATGACTCCATGTTAACTGGTTGTTGATGGGATTTTTGCAGCCCCACTCAAGATGGGCATTAAGTCATCAATGCAATATTTAATGACTATGTTTTGCACGTGAAGGACACAATATTGCTCAGCATGAAGAACTTATGGAGAGAGGACTTACAACATGTCAGTTTCCATAAGTAATTTAGAATCTTTCATTTAAAAAAAGTATGGTAATGGAAAAGACAAGTTCTTGCTGTGGCCAAAACCTTGTTGAGGATATGTATTGAGATGTTCTAAAATTTTGGATGGCTAACAATAAAGACCAGCATTACCCCTCAAACCAAAAAACTAATAAACCCATTCATGATCTAAACCACATGGAAACATCAAAATAATAAACCAAAAATATGAAGTCATGCACTTCTCAGATTACAACCCTCACCTTGCAACAGGTCTTCCTCCTATGCTAGGAGGAAAAGCCAGGTATTAACAGATCTGCTGAAACCAAGAAAACTTAACACTGATGATGTTACCTTGCAAGAAAACAACTAAGCTCAGAGAGCACCAAGGACCTCTCAGAGAAAGATGAGACTGGATCTCAATGAGGAGAAAATTCTGTTGGGATTTGGGCAGATCAAGATAGGAGAAGATGGTCTCTCATATACACTCTGAAGCTCAGGACCATTTTATTGATTTTCGAATGCATTACTTAGCCATACAAATCCTAAGGCATGGTGTGGTTTGTTGACATGGGGTATGCATGCCCCAAATCAAATATTGTGGGCTTACCAATAAATTGTAGTTACTAAGCATCGCTTTGTGTTATGTTAATATGTTTCATGTGTATGAATGCAACCTCAGGATACGACTACAAGCTATGGGCTTAAGAGGTCAACAAGTACGATCCACACACAAGATAAAAAGCTTTGGGGAGATCAAATGTTTGCAGAAAATTGAAAACAGCCCCCCCCCCAAAAGAAAACATGATGGAACATGATCACTGGTTGAAGAAAGCTGCCTGGTAGTTTGGGGAAATTAAAAACCAATGTCAAAAGAAAGATGGAGGGGCTGAAGAGAAAAGCTCAAAATAAATTTTACATTTACCTTTTTATCACCTTTCTTTTTTTAAAAAAAAGAAAGAAAGAAATTGTCCTTTTGTCCTTTTGTTCCAGCTCTTTGATCATAGCTTTTCTGTCAAAGGAGCAGAATTTGGCATGACAGAGTTCATTCTCCTTAATAAACATCCTTTTTATTATCATCATTCTCAGTTAAGGGGACGGTGTCACATAAAGACATTTCCAGAATAAACAGAGTGGTTGCAACCATAAATTACTAAGGTAGATCCTCAAGACAGAGAGATGGACCAAAGCCGTGAGGATTTCTGGGACCAGAAGATTGAAACCCTACTCCCTCCCGTTCACATATGAGCTTGGCTTTTATTATGCTAGCCCCATTTCCCATATGGGAAAAGAATGGGTAATTCTTCATGGGTCTGAAGATGAAGATGAAAAATTCATTTTATATACACCATAATAGTCAACAACAAACACTGAGTCCATATTTTGCCTTTGCCATCGACTGTATTCATTTGTGTTAATTTCTCAAGATATTTCAACATTTGGTCTGAAGCCTCTGTCCTTGATGACTTTAATAAAACACAGTCCTAAATTTCCCTGGTTTTCTCCTAGCCTGGAGCCTTCTAGATATGTTTAGACTACACCTCTAAAAATTTCCAGCTGGATGACATCAGGCTCAAGCAAGGCTGAGTTACTTTAGCACAACTTTAGCACAACTTTAACACAATGTTGTAGGAAATTGGAGCAACAAGAAGAATGGCACGTATTCCTTGCATTTTGCTGATTTTTGGACAAACTACACTGAAAAATCAAACAAGGATAATGACTAGACTAGACTAGACTAGACTAGACTAGACTAGACTAGACTAGAATAGAATAGAATAGAATAGAATAGAATAGAATAGAAATACCTCATTTAGTGACTAAAGTTACGCTGGCACTGAAAAAAGTGACTTATGACCATTTTTCACACTTATGACTGTTGTACCATCCTCATGGTCACGAGATTTACATTTGGATGCTTGACAATTGACTCACACTTATGACAGTTGCAGTGTCCTGGAGTCATGTGATCTTTTTTGTAACCATCTAACAAGCAAAGTCAATGTGGAAAGCAGATTCACTTAACAACTGTGTTACTAATTTAACAACTGCAGTGGTTCACTGAACAAATCCGGCAAATCTATTCATGGCATTGGGCCTGGGTACTTACGGGACTGCCTTCTGCCGCCGATAGCCTCCCACCGGTCAGTTCGCTCCCACAGACAGGGACTCCTCAGGGTGCCGTCAGCCAGGCAATGTCGGCTGGCGACCCCCAGGGGGAGGGCCTTCTCTGTGGCAGCACCTGCCCTCTGGAACGACCTGCCCCCGGAGATACATAGGATACCAGATCTCCGTGTTTTTCGCCGTGCCCTCAAAACTTTTCTATTTCATCAAGCTGGGCTGACGTAACACCCCCCCCCAAGATATTTTTAATTGTAAATGGATTTTAGTCGGGAGGTTTTAAATTTTGGGCCAAAATTTGATTAATTCTTTTTAAAAAATTTAAATTTTGTATTGGGATGTTTTTATTCTTGGCTGTGCACTGCCCTGAGTCCAGTAGGAGAAGGGCGGTATAAAAATTTAATAAAATAAAATAATAAATAATAAGAAAAGTCATAAAATGAGGCAAACAAATTTCTGAATTAACTACATAAATTTTGGGTTCAATTGTGGTTGTAAGTTGAGGACTACCTGTACATACACAAACATGCAGACTCACAGAGGCACACAACACAAAGCTTCCATAGTACAGAAGTTGAAGCAGGACATAAACGAACACTGCTGCTTCCTAATCTGTTTCCAGAAACTAATCAAGGCAGGGTGTTTGGAAGACACTCAGCAGTGAAGCAAAAATTGAAGCAAAGTCGTTTAAGGTCAATGCAGTTAGCTTTGTTCCATCATTACTTTAACAAAAAAATAATAATAAATAAAATAAAAACTCCCTGGATCCCTTCCATTACCTCATGACTACAGCAATGTGCAATCATAATATTAAAAAAAACACTTACAGTTGAAACTTGCTTTCTCTTTAACATTCCCACAGCTTTCATGTATAGAGGAGGCCAGAAAAATAAGCAGCAAAGACAGGAGTTTCCTATTCATTAACTTAAAGAGAGAGAGAGAGAGAGATGATTCACACTATTTATGTCAGGCACAAATAGAAAGTTCTTCTGTTTTTGTGCAATTGCCAATTGGGCAATTGCATAAGAATTTTGACTTTAAAAATAAGCATCAGATTTCCAAAAGTGGGAAATATCCAAATAAATGTACTAGCAAGCTTTAGAATAATTACAGCCTATTGCTGCCCTATATCCCATGAAACCAGGGGTGAAATGCACTTATCTTCGCTACCGGATTGCAAATGTGAGCTCGGTCGTGTCTCCTCCACACATGTGCAGAGCCTTCTGCACATGCGCAGAGGGTCAGTGATGACATCTGGGAGGGTGGGCGGAGCCTCCCGCCACTGGCCCTACCGGATCGCGCAATCCGGATAGATCCGGCTGAATTCCACCATTGCATGAAACCCAAATTATAGTTCTGGAGAGTCCTAGATGTTTCAAACTTGAGCCATTCTGTATTGATAGCAAAAGCAATATCAGTTAGACTTATAGACCGCTTCACAGTACTTTACAGACCTTTCTAAGCGGTTTACAGAGTCAACATATTGCCTCTAGCAGTCTGGGTCTTCATTTTAATGATCTCAGAAGGATGGAAGGCTGAGTCAACTTTGAGCTGGTGAGACTCAAATTGCTAAACTGGTGGCAGCCAGCAGTCAGCAGAATTAGCCTGAAATACTGTAGTACTGCATTCTAACCACTGCGCCACCACAGTTCCTCTACACAAATTCTGAGTCCCAACCACTCTGTGGTTTGAGAAAACAGAGAACACCCCTGAAAGGACAGGACTGCTTTGTGATGCAAGGACAATTCTCACCAAAAGAATGTAGCTTCTTTTTAAAAATCGAGCTGGAACTGAGAAAGAATTACAAGACACGTTGGCAGGCTGCATTTGGAGTGTTTGCAAATCCCTTTTCTATACATTTATATATAGAAATGACCACTTTTTATTGTAAGTCATCCTGCATCATATTTTTGTACAGCGTATTTTGGAACAAGCAAGGGAATAAACACACCCCATTTGTGACTTATGAAAGCAATTGTTTTCAGAACTGCATAGACATATTTCTTTTATCCCGGAAATGAAAAAAATTCAGAGTTGATTTCCAGAAACATTCCCAAAATATGAGGGTGGGAGATGGAAAGAATCAATTAAAAATGTTTTTCAAAGCCTCATATTACTGTGTTGTCATAACATGGGTGTGTGGATGCATTATATATTTAAAAATGCACCTTTTATGGAGGTATGGCTAAGCATTTAGAACACAGCAGCCTCTAAATAACAACAGTAAATCATCAGCTGTTACTAATTTTGCAAAATAAGTTGATTATAAAACAATTATGAATGCAAATATTGTAAAGCAGGGACTTATTTTCAGAAATTTCAAAGAGTGGATTGAAGGCAAATGACTTTTAGAGCAGCTCTTTAATCTTGTCAGGCTTCATTAATTTCATTGTTTGAGTAATTTGCCAACATTAAAGGCAGTGTTCCTTCACTGACTCCGCAGGGAAGAAATAATGTACCGAACTAGTAGCAAAAGGTAATCCACACCGGCCTGCTTGTTATTCCAATCAAATCATTACAGTAAACATCTTTGTACCAGCAAAGTCACTCAAGTGCTCTCATGAAATTTTTAGAATAATTCTACTTGTGTTTCTTTCTGAGCAATTAATCACCTTAAAAATGTAACAAGTACAATTTAGTCTCATTTTCAATGATTATATAGACTTTTTGATATCGCCTCATTATCAAAAAGCTGCCCAGGGCACGTACAGAGAACAAACAAACAAACAAACAAAAAACCCCATAATTGTTAAGGTCTAGGCGAAGAATGGAGGTGAGGCCAGAGTGATTTCTAACAGCTCTTTATTCAAAACTGCCTGTGAGGCAACTGAATTTACTGGCTGACACAGCTCCTTTTATAGGGAACTGATTAGCCAAACAACCAATCAGAAGATAGTATTTTCCCACTCCCATAAAGGACCAGAATGAGAACTTCAACTGACAACTATACACTATATACAATACATAATAATATATAAACAATACATTATGAACATAACATTCACACCCTCTGAGGCTATTGGAGTCCCCTACAAATTTTAAAAATGGAAAACTAAGGCCCCAGTTGTAGAAATGTTTACTGCTTCTAGTTCAATGTAGAGCTAACAAATTTAGCTTACAAAAACCCAGAGAACCACTAGATGGCAACAAAGAGTTAGATTTTTCTAAATCTCTTTGCTGCCCCAATTTCTGCCACCCAGTTCTAGGACTCCTGGTTTAATGCAATATAGGAAACTGTTGCCTTCCCAGAAAAAAAATCAAGTCTTTCAGTCTAATTAACACAACTAAAATGCAGGAAAAGGTCAGCCCTAAGCCTTTCAAAATCAAACACAAAATCCCCAAGTGGTGTCTCTTTTGTGTGCGAGCCAAACAAATGCAGTTGGATAGGCCCCTTGACTTTACAGGAAGGTACGTTCTGTCCCTATTTTTGTGAAATTATACTGATAAGATGAAAACATTGTATGAAGAGCACAATGGCCTCTGAAAGGTCAGTTATTAATTTGTCCATCTTGAGGACAACCTCCAGTACTAGAACAGCTGCAAAGAAAAGGTTTTCCATTACCAGTTTCACGATGCTCTTAACTGCAGCAGGGGCTTTTCTGCATAAAAATATATGTCACAGACCGGCCTCAGCTCTGTTTTCTGCCCAATACGCCTCCTCAACAATAGCAAAGGAAGCCTCTCGCTTTGACAAATGCCTTAAGGAAGAAGATTGATACTCCCCCAGCTTTTCATGCAGACCTCTGCAAGTTGTTCCTAGCAATGTTCCTTTTTTGGCCAAACTACAGACAGGATTTGAAGAGCCATCCTCCTTTGCTTGCCTATGATCCTCCTACAGGCCAGTCCTGACTTTCCTCTGTGTGGAACAACATTCAGAAAACCATTTCTCCTTCTCCATGCCTTTCTTCAAACAAAAGTGGCCCTGCCTTCCGTCCATCCTGCTGGTTCTCTCTTTGAAGTTTGCTCAGACAGCAAGAATGCTTGAAGGGGAAGGAAAGGGTGGTCAGCGGGGAGTGTGAGTGAGGCACAAATTCTTGACTATAAACAAAGAAGGCTTCTATCATATTGCATCCTCAACCCAGGGTAGCTTCCTTGATATTCTTCATTCACATCCATCCATACACACACACACACACAAAAACAAACAAACACATAAACAAATCTTACAATTGTTAATAAATCAGTCTAAAACTAAGGCTGCCTTAGTTTTTGTAGTCAAGCAAGGCAGTCAAGGCAAATGTTTCCTGGGGGAATAAACCTCACTAAGTCCTTACTTGAAAGAGATCCAGGAATGCATGTTTGCTTAAAGCCGATTAGGAAGTCTAGTAAACAGTTTGGAAATTTGTAGGACCAGTCTGGGCATAGACTGTCCTGGAGAAACTCTAAAATCAAGTTTGTATCAAGAGTTGATATTAACTTGTTGACACATAATCAATCCATTTTTATTTATTTATTTATTTTGCATTCCAGAGCATTCCCTAGTTCAGGGCAGTAACTCTTATCACTAGTTCGCAACTTAAAGATGTTGCTTAAAGGTCCCAAGTACTGAGAGTTTGTGGTACTGTTGAAAGTTCCCTCTGAACAAAATATAGCAGCTATGTCTATACCACTGTTTCTCAACCTCAGCAATTTTAAGTTGTGTGGATTTCGACTCCCAGAATCCTTCAGCATGAATTCCCAGCAGTCCCACCAGTGGGTAGATCATATGTATCAGGTGAGGAGATTTTGAACAAAAGTTTCGCTTGCTTCCAATTCCCAAGGTGCAATCTTTCTTCCATGAATAGAAAAAGTACATCCATCTTATACCATTCTTTAATCACCTCAAGTTCATGTGTGAAAGGATTGTCCAAGTGAGCCAAGAAGAACTAATGAGATTTTTTTTTTGAAGATGCATTTCAGCATTATGTCTTAATATCTACAGCAGCTTTCCATATAAAGCTATCTTCTATCTTCCATAGAAGATACTCTCATTATCTTCTAAATAAGCTGAGAGTTTGGTTGATTGTGGCTTTGGGGAGTCTAGAGTAACAATATGCAACAATATGCCATATATTACTAATTATTATCAAGTTCCATGCCACCCATTAAAACTGAGAACCAGTTTGGTTGGAGGTTAAGGCAGGAAATTGTGAGTTTTAGTACCACCGTAACCATGAAAGCCAGCTGTGTGTCTTTGGGCTATTCACTCACTCTCAACCCAACTCACCTCACAGAGTTGTTGTGGGGAAAACAGGAGAAGGATGCCTTGAGGCATATTTGATGCCTTGAGTTATTGGCAAAGCTAATAAAGGCAGGATACAAACAAAATAAACTTAGAATTCAAGCTTTATCTTATCCTATTGGGTCAAGCATAAAATCTTAATATGTAAAGCAGAATAAAAAAAATCAAGGCTCATTCTCCCCAATTAAGTCACACAGGTTGAGTTCACACATAATGGTAAATCATAATGTAATCGATCAATCATAGATTACATAAGACAAACAAGTCACATTATGCCTTCGAGGAGTGTTTCATAAGAGTAGGGATTAAGCTGGTCACTCAAATATCTTTTACATTATTCATACCTCTAGTGTAATATTTGAGACACATATTGTAGTTGATTCAAATCTCATATTATTCTAAGCGTATTTGAGGAGGAATCAAGGAAACACTACCTCCAGTCTTTATTCATTAATTCTAAATGATTTATTGCTGATTAAAAGTGATGGCAACTACTCTATCTTATTGCTGCAGTCCTTTGAACACAGACACTAAAGTTTGGGTTAGGGCTTATTTCTTAACTACATATTAGGTAACTTAGAACTCTAAATGTGGCCTAACAAAACACAATTACTACATCCCCCAAATAAACTATGATGGCAGGATTCATTTTTAGAATAAGATAAAATAATGATGCCAGTTCCCATAACCTGCCAAACCAGACCATGAAGATTCATTTTACATACTCTAGAGTGTTGTACTAAGTCAATGCCAATTGTAGTGGACCTTTTGAAAGATAAAGAGGAAGATAAACTGGGTAGGAATCTGTAATCACCTACCTGATAGATAGGAGGGAGGGATAGCTGGGAGATAAAATTTGGCAACACTGGATGGAGTCGCTTTACCAACTGTCTCAGAAAATGAGGGAGAGCCCCTTTTGGCTCGAAATTTAGAGAAGGGCTACCACAGCAGGATGGTTTCTGGGGCTCATCTGGATTGCTGCATATCAGATTTGGCAACCTTAACCAGGATCCTTGGTTGTAGGTTTCACACAGGCAGATCTTAACTTTGTAGCACCAGCAACTCAGTCCATCCAGTAAGAATGCCAGACAACTCCTCCATAAGCAAACTTCTTCATAAGCTACTCAAACTACCATTCAATTCCCTCAATCCTGAACCGCTTCAAGGTTGAACTCAGCCTTCCATCCTTCCAGACGGGAGGTTGAACAACTAGCCTCGTGGTGCGACCGGAACAATCTGAAAATGAACACACTCAAAACCGTAGAAATGGTGGTAGACTTTAGGAGAAACCCTTCCATACTTCCACCTCTCACAATACTAGACAACACAGTATCAACAGTAGAGACCTTCAAATTTCTAGATTCTACCACATCTCAAGATCTAAAATGGACAGCTAACATCAAAAACGTCGTCAAAAAAGCAAAACAAAGAATGTTCTTTCTCCACCAACTCAGAAAGCTCAAACTGCCCAAGGAGCTGCTGATCTAGTTCTACAGAGGAATTATTGAGTCTGTCACAGTGGTGAAATCCAAATTTTTTTACTACCGGTTCTGTGGGTGTGGCTTGGTGGGCATGGCAGGGGAAGGATACTGCAAAATCTCCATTCCCATCCCACTCCAGGGGAAGGATACTGCAAAATCTCCATTCCCATCCCACTCCAGGGGAAGGATACTGCAAAATCCCCATTCCTTCCCCACTCCTGGGGGAAGGATACTGCAAAATCTCCATTCCCACCCCACTCTGGGGCCAGCCAGGGGTGGTATTTGCTGGTTCTCCGAACTGCTCAAAATTTCTGCTACCGGTTCTCCAAAACCTGTCAGAACCTGCTGGATTTCACCCCTGGTCTGTCATATGCACCTCTATAACTGTCTGGTTCGGTTCTGCAACCCAACAAGACAGACACAGACTTCAGAGGATAATTAGAACTGCAGAGAAAACAATTGCTATCAACCTCCCTTCCATTGAGGACCTGTGTACTGCACGAGTCAAAAAGAGGGCTGTGAAAATATTTACAGACCCCTCACATCCTGGACATAAACTGTTTCAACTCCTATCCTCAAAACGATGCTTTAGAGCACTGCACACCAAGACAACTAGACACAAGAGCAGTTTTTTCCCGAACGTCATCACTCTGCTAAATAATTCCCTCAACACTATTTACTAAGTCTGCACTACTATTAATCTTCTCATCGTTCCCACCACCCATCTCTTTCCACTTATGGCTGTATGACTGTAACTTTGTTGCTTGTATCCTTACATTTATATTGATATTGTTTCCTGATTGCTTATTTGTACCCTATGACTATTATTAAGTGTTGTACCTTATGGTTCTTGATGAACGTATCTTTTCTTTTAGGTACACTGAGAGCACCAAGACAAATTCCTTGTGTGTCCAATCACACTTGGCCAATAAAAAAATTCTATTCTATTCTATTCTATTCTATTCTATTCTATTCTATTCTATTCTATTCTATTCTATTCTATTCTGTTCTATTCTATTCTATTCTATTCTGAGGTCAGGCAAAATGTGGACCCAGATTGTTGGGGGCAATATGCTGACTCTGTAAAGCCCCTTAGAAAGGGATGTAATGCTATTGCTATCATACCACCATCCTGCACTCACTTCTGCAAAAACTGTGTGGCAGGCAAGCTGGAGGAAAAGTTTTCACTTCTCCCTCTGCAGCAGACCACTAGCATTCCTCTAGTTCCCTTGCAACTTAAACAAATCCCAGTTGTATATATATACTCCCACCCCCATCAATCATTTTGCCTGGCTTCCTTCAACACTTCAGCACGTTAGAGCCATCAATCCCCGTCCCCCACCATGGCATGTCCCCTTCACGGTCACGACCACCTGTTGGGAGATGCTGCACCTGTTGCGTTTCTGCCTGATCCTAAAAGCGGGGGGACGGGGGGAAGGGAGGAGAAACCCGCTGGTATCGAGAGAAGCGACCCTTCCCCCGCCTTTTACGAAGCGCCCCATCAAGCGTTACTTTCGCCCTACCTGGGAGGCGCACCCGGAGCCTCGTTTGCAGCGGCTCCGTCGAGCCTTCGGCAGCGCCGCGCTGCCGTCTCTGCGCTGGGAAGGGAGTGGGGGGGGGAGACCGGCAGGCTCAGGAAGAGGCTCCACCTTGGAGGCGCCTGCGAAGCAGCTGCCGACCGTCTGGGGTCGCGGGATCAAAGTAACAGTGCGAAGGGCTGGCCCTTTCCTTCCTTCCCTCCCTCCCTCCCTCCCTGTATCCAGCTAGGCTTATTCGGGGGCAGGGATTTGCAGAATAGCAGAGATGGGACTCGAGCGTGGATCCGGATCGAGGGCGGGAAGGACGGTGGGGGGGGGGGTGAACCCAATTGCGAAAAGGGCGTTTGGGGAGAAGCTCCTAGGAGGGCGCCTTAGGGCTTCGGGTGGAGCTCGTTTGATAGGCTCCGTCTGAGTTCACAAACTGCAGCCTGAACTCCCGAACTGATCCTAAAAGGCTCTTGCATGGCGTTCAGTTGCGCATTTGTGTTCCCACAGGGTCGGGCTGATCGTTGCGCGGGCGGGCCGGGAAGGAAGTCTGATAGTAGAGCGACCATCTATTTATAAGAGGACAGGTCGTCCTGGACTTAACAACAGTTCGGTGAAGTGACAGCATCGCTGAGAAAAGTGACTTGTGACCGGTTTTCACACTTAACGACCGAGCCCCCATGGTCCCCATGATCAAAATTCAAAGGCTTGGCAACCGATTCATATTTATGACTTGCAGGGTCCTTGGGGTCATGTGCTCCCCTTTTGTGACCCTCTGACACTGTTGAAGGGCATATTCTTCTGCAGTTAGGTTCCCTTTCTTTTCGCCTACAGCAGGGGTCGGCAACCTTAAACACTCAAAGAGCCACAAAGGTCCTAACCGGAAGCCCCCCATTCAATTCTGGAGCCGACCCGAAGTCCGGTTCCCTCACCATAGAGCAGTGATGGCTAACCTTTTTGCCATTGCGTGCCAGGAAGGGGGTGGGGGTGGGGGGTTTCGAACGGGCGTGTGCCCACACCCATAATTCTATATGCCCTGCCCTGAGCATCCGTGCGTGACGCCCCTCCCCCCCCGCACCTGGCACGCAATGGCCCGGTAGGCCCATTTTTCTTTCTCACCTAGCTCCAGATCCTCTTTATGCATCTGGGAAGGGTGAAAACAGCCTTCCCCACCCCCTCGGAGGCCATCTAGAGGCAGGAAACAGCCTGTTTCCCTACTTCTGGTGGGCCCAGAAGGCCCGAAAATCAGCTGGCCAGAGCTGAGCTGGTGTGCCAGGCAACATGGCTCTGCATGCCACCTGTGGCACGCGTGCCATAGGTTCGCCATCACAGCCATAGAGTCTCCTCCTAGCGTGGCATCCTTTTTTCCTCTACCTATCCTAACCGAAAGCCCTATCAATTGTGGAGCCAACCGGTGACAGGAGCCGCCTCAGAGGGATGAAAGAGCCACATGCGGCTCCAGAGCCACAGGTTGCTGACCCCTAGCCTACAGGAATATGGTGGAAATGCAGTATAGGTAGTCCTCGACTTACAACAGTTCATTTAGTGACCATTCAGTTATAATATCACTGAAAAAAGTGACTTATGACCATTCTTCACACTTACGACCATTGCAGCATCCCCCATGGTTGGGTGATCAAAATTCAACAACCAGGTTACTAATTTGACAATCCCAGTGATTTACTCAACAAGTGTGGCAAGAAAGGTCGCAAAATGGGCCAAAGTTCACTTAACGACCATCTCACTTAGCAACCTAAATTTTGGGCTCCATTGCGGTCGTAAGTCGAGGACCACCTGTACAAAGCTGTGCAGGCTAAAAAGCAGACCTTTCATTCACTTCAGGTTCTCGCTTTGCTTGATCTTCTTTTTCCAGGAACAAAGTGTCTCTGAGCATATTTATTTTTGCTTCAGTGTTGTTTAAATGCAGTATGTTGACCCAGGAGATAAAATAATTTCAGTAAGTTCTTACAACTAGTACAGGTATCCCTCCGTTTACAATAGTTCATTTAGTGACTGTTTAGTGATGAGTTAACAACTGCAGTGATTCACTTAACAACTATGGCCAAAAAAAGATCATAAAAGGGGGCAAAATTCACTTAATTGTTTCGCTTAGGAACAGAACTTTTGGGCTCAATTGTGGTCCTAAGTCGAGGACTACCTGTACTCAGATAGACTGCTCCTGCTTGGAATTTTTGACTGTCCTAATCAAATAACGCTGCATTCAGTGTTTATGGTGGCCTCTCCCACTTTATTCTCAACTCAATTGGGCTAACGGTGGCCCACCTGAAGAACTGAAATGTATGCTTAATTGAATTCTAGTGTTTAAATATCTGCAGCACAACTACTCAAAACCTGTGGGACAAAATCTGTGCCTGTTCTTTGTTGTTTTCCCCTCGCTCAAGTATACCCCCATCAGGGGTCCTTGGTGCTCTCTGAGCTTGCTTGTTTTCTTGCCCTAAATAGGCAACAGGTTCAATGCTATGCTAGTAAGGAGTACTGTTCGCTGTCAGTTTATATTTTGGCAACTTGCCTGTCTGGGTGGGTGGGTGGAAACGGTCTTAGAGATTCATTTACTGATGGCTTTTTGTCAGTTTCTTGATTGGGGCATTGCTTGTTTGGTTGTTGGCCCCGAGTTAATCTATGCTGATCTGGTTGCTGATTACTGGTGGAGAGATGCTTGGGCCTTTTTGTTCCCTTTTGGGGTGGTTGATTGTCTCTGTTTAGCCCAGGTGTGTCAAACTCGATTTCATTGAGGGCCACATCAGGGTTGTGTTTGACCTCGGAGGGCCAGGGTGGGCGTGGCCAGGGGTGGACATGGCCATTGTGGGCCTGACACAGGACTTGTGTCGGAGGGACACCTGTAGTGGCCAAGTGCTAAGGTAGGACTTCCCTCAGATTCTCCCTTACTCTCATTATACTCTCCTTCCTTCCTTCCTTCCTTCCTTCCTTCCTTCCTTCCTTCCTTCCTTCCTTCCTTCCTTCCTTCCTTCTGGCCTGCTGCCCTCACAAAGCCTCTGAGGAACTGTATAATCCAACTTCATCTGAATGTCAGCATACTGCTTGACCTTTGTTACTTCACTCATGTCTTGACTCTGCTGAGGGCCTTCTGGTCTTACTGCAATTGTACTAATGTTCTTGTCTCACACAATTTAAAATTGCAACCAAGTTAAAGAGTATAGCTTCCAGACCAACCTGACTCCAGAATTCTGGGGATTTTCTAGTATAAGTAGTCCTCCACTTATGACCACAACTGAGATCAGAATGTCTAAGTAAGGTGGTTGAATCACACACCTTTTTTAATGTCCTCTTTGACACAGTTTTAAGCAATCACTGCAGTTGTTAAGTGAATCTAGCTTCCCCCATTTACTTTGCTTATCCAAGTCAGTTTTCAGCCAAAGCACATTCATAGTGAAGCACTGGTTTGCTTAATGACCTTGGTGTTTGTTTAATGACCACCATGCTTGCTTAAGGACTGCTGCAGGAAACATTCTAAAACTGGATCGGTCATGTGACCAGCCCATTGTACAAATATTATGACATATGACCATAATGGGCAAGCTCAATTATTTATTTATTTATTTATTGTCATATATATATGCCGCCCTTCTCCTGAGGGACTCGGAGCGGCTCACAAAATAAAACAACCCAAAAATAAATAGAATTAAAATGTTAAAATCTGATTTAAAAACCCCAGATCCCCCAAATTAAAATGCACGGCAGATCAGGGAATTTGCTGAAAGAGCCATGTCTTTAGGTCGGCGCGGAAGGTATGGAGGTCGGGGGCCGTCCGGAGCCCAGTGGGTAAACCATTCCAGAGGGTCGGTGCGACCACAGAGAACGCCCTCATCCTGGGGGCCGCCAGCCGACACTGTCTGGCCGATGGAACCCGGAGGAGGGCAGTCCTATGTGCATAATTATGGTATGTCAATGACTACTCGTATGGACTCTTTGCTGAAAATGGATAAAAATGAATTGCTCATTTTGGAATTTATTGATTAAAAAGTTTTGTTCATAGGAAGAAGAGCAACTATGATATGCATTAGGGAAATATGGCAACGGTATGTAATGTTTGGAATTGCGACAGCAAAGAGTGGACGCTGCTTCTTTAGATATATTTTTCTTGCTTTTTTGTTGCCACTTTTTATTTTATCCTTTTTATAATGTTTTTCCCCCTATCTTTCTTTTTCAATACCATTTTTTAAATTTTTTGTAAAATCTTTTAATAAAAGTTACTCATAAAAAAAAAAGTCTGGAAACACTAAATAGGGATCAAAAGCTTCAAATCCTCAAGATTAGTGTTGGTGAGCAGAAATAACAGTGAACGATGCCGGACAGGGCAACGAAAACAAGCTTAATGTGTGTGTGTGTGTGTGTGTTTTTCTTTCCAATTCTATTCTGAGAAAAGAAATGCTTTTGGAGATGGTAGGCTTTCCAGCTCAAAAATCTTATTTTTTTAATACCAGCCCAATATTGGGAAAACGTTACTTATGCTGGACTTCATTCTAAATAAAAATGCTTATTTGGCATATATTACAGAAACCTGGCATGGGAGTGTTTGTCCTATTTTGAACACCAGGTTCCTCTGAATTAGGTTGGCAGAGAACATTGCATTCATTTAGTGGAAGTCGGTATTGCTAACCAGATGTTCCAGCCAGCTGCCTGCTGATTCAGAGTTCAAGCTGCAGTATGCCTTTGGGTCAAGGGACAATGTAGGAAACTTCTCCCTGATTGATATAGATTTGCCAGACTCTTTATTCTGCTCCTCGATATCACATTCCTGAAGCAAAGGAATGAGAGCTCCCAGCAGTTAAGTGTTTTGCTCCCTGACTTTTCCTTAAGGTAATCAAGATTACTAAACTTGCAACATCATGAAGTAAATGTTCAAAACAAACCTGAAACCCCAAATGAACCAGCATTCTCTGGCTGTTAATTCTAGAATAACCCCCCCCTCTCTTCTCTTTCTTTCGTATGCTCTGCTTGAGAACGTCTGCACTAAATATCTTTTTAAATTGTACAATACGGCCTCAAGCACAGAATGTCCTACCAAGAGAGGTACATCAGTGCCATCTTTAACATGATTCTATTCTCTTTATTATTATTTTTTAA